GCCTGATAAGTGATTGAATTAGTNTCGGTTGTGGTTGTATGAGTGTTGGCACTGTGCAAACTTTCAGAACCAACATGAGATGGTGTTGGTTGAAGCATTGAGGAAGAGAAAGCTACGTTGGTATTTTGTTCGAGCAGGTTATTGGAAGAGGAGGATGAACCATTACTTGCATTAGGTACTGCAAGTAAGTCTTCGTTCATTGTGTTGTTTTTCTTTTGATTTGATGAAGTGGAAGGAATTTGCTTTGAAAGAAAAGATGATGAAATCCAAAAATGGTAGTAAAACTGAGTTTGTGCGAAACCTGTAGAAAGCTTTCAAATCGAATTTATGTTCCAATATGGGTTAGATTGGTTCTATAGGTAAATTCTATTTCGTGTATGGTATTGTTGTACAGGGATATTTCCTTTTGTATTTGCCCTACCAACCCATCATGAAAACGCAGTTTCATGTTGTACTGTTTGCCCTGATGATGGCGCCAGACATTACAAGACTTCAATTTTGTATTACATTTGAAACGTATTGATGCAACAAGGTTTTTATTTTACAATATACGTATAATTGTAAAATAGAAATTTATAAATCTCTTAAGGTTCTTCAGTGAGTGTTGCGTAATTTCCATTTCCATCATTTTGATTTTGTGGAGCGGTTTGTCCTTGTTTCTTCTTGTAAATGTAATATCCAACACCAATGACAATTGCAATAATTATCATCAAAATAAATCCTACAAGAACAACGATATATGATTTGTCACCCTTTTCTGTAATAATTGTTCCAGCACTACTTGATGTTGGCTTATTGCTTGATGTGCTTGGTTTGTTTGGGGATGGAGTTGGTTTGTTTGGAGATGGAGTTGGTTGAGGAGTCTTACCACTGCTAGATGTTGGTGGAGTTATTGGTTGAGCAATAAGGGCAAAAGATGAAGGCCAATGAGTAGTTGAGCATACAACTGAATAAGTGCTTGCTGTTGCTCCTTGTTGTGAACTCAAAATGGTGGTTGTAACTCTGTCAGTCTTCCAAGAATCAGTGGCTTTATCGTAATATGCACAAGCAATTCTGGACAAGGCGACACTATGTCTTGCTAATGCAGATGTTGGAACGACTATATTGTGCATGTTTAAAAGGATTGGATCAGGAAGGTTATTTAATTCTACTCTTTGGTTGTTTCCTTGTTGAGTAATGATGAATGTAACAGCAGGGCTCAATACTTTAGAGTTAACACTTCTAATATCAGAAACTGATGAGGCCATATTGAGTGGAATCTCTTCATCTCTGAGAATAGTTTCCAAATAATCAGAAATTGATGCAGGAAGAGTAATGAAAATATCCTTGAATTTGGTAAATGTAATATTAAAGCTCTCCATATCTTCCATATCTTGTACGTCTATAATGTTTGTTTCTGTCAAATTCTTCAAAGCAGTATTGTTTACAACAGAACAGAAGAGGGAAGTATCTCCTGGTGGACAAATAATATTTGTAGCACATTGAGGACCATTATATCCATAAGCACATTGACATGAATCAGGAGATTCACAAACACCATTTCCAGAACATACATTAGGATCAGAATAATGAATACCATAACAATAGTAATTCTCACAATTATTACCAGAGAATCCACTTGTGCAATTACACTTGTTTGGAGATGAACAAATACCATTACCTGAACAAACTTGAGGATCATTCTTATCCAAGCCATTACAAGAGAAGCTTTCACAATTTTCTCCTTCATATCCAAGAACACAAGTACAATTATTTCCAGATGAGCAAACACCATGACCTGAGCACACATTGGTATCGTTTGAAGGAATACCATGGCATTTGAATGCTTCACAAGTGTGTCCATAGTATGGTTCAGTACATTCACAGAGGTCAGGTTTTGAACAAACACCCTTTGATGAACATACTTGTGTATCATTGTGCATAATTCCAAAGCAGTCAAAATGTTCACAAACATTTCCGTAATATCCAGCTTGACATTCACACTTGTCTACAGATTTGCAAATACCATTACCAGAGCATACTTGCTTGTTAGAATTGAGTACACCAAAGCATTGATAATTTTGACATTCCTTTCCTGAATAGCCAGCTTGACAAGTGCAATTGTTTCCAGATGAGCAAACACCATGCCCTGAGCAAACAGTTGAAGTATTAGTTGAGGAAATACCATAACATGTGAATGATTCACAATTAACTCCTTCATAAGCCTCCTTACATTCACAACGACCTGGGGCTGTGCAGTATCCATTTGCTGAACACACATTTGGATCGGCGTGTTCTACTCCATTACAGTAATAAAATTCACAACTAGAACCGTTAAAGTTTTGTTCACATACACACTTATCAATTGCTTCACAAACACCATGTGAGGAACATACTTTCTCATCGTTGTGGGCCAATCCAAAGCATCCATAATTCTCGCATTCGTTTCCATAGTATCCAGGTTTGCAGGTACAATTATTTCCAGATGAACAAACACCATGACCTGAGCAAACAGTGGAGTCATTTGATTGTTTTCCGAAACAGGTAAAATATTGGCAAGTTTCACCAGAGTGACCATCGCGGCATTCGCACTTGTTTGGCAAACTACAGAGACCAGCTTGAGAACAAACTGATGGATTTGAGTGCTCTACACCAAAACAGTCATAATGCTCGCAATTATTTCCATAATATCCATTGTTACAAGTACAATTATTGGCAGAAATACAAACACCTTGAGATGAACAAACGTTTGGATCTTCCTTTGGAATTCCATTGCAACCAAATAATTCACATTGCTCGCCATAATAACCTGCGAAACATGAACAATTATTGTAAGACTCACAAACACCATTGCCCGAACAGACAGTTTCATTTGAAGGGAGCAAACCAAAGCAAATTCTCGGTAATTTTTCACATTCAGCAGCATCATTAAGTCTGTAACCCTTTGGACACATTGCTGTCAACTTTCTAACTCTAGAATTACCACTGTCAGCAATATAAACAGTACTTCCGTCTGGTGAGATATCAGCAAACAATGGTCTGTTCAAAAGTGCGAGCCTTGAATCTAAAACAACTTCTCCATTGAATCCATTAATACCAGTTTTACCAGCAATAGTAGAGATGGTAGCGTTTTCTTCCTTAAGATTAAATCTTATAATTGTGCTATCTCCATTACAAACAACAATAAAATCACCCTTTGGAGAAACTGAAACAGATCTTGGATAGTAAATAGTATCATCAGATTCAGAACCTTCCAAAACGGTGGAAATAATTCCGTCATTTGAAACTTTTCTAATTCTATGACTGGCAAAGTCAGAAATGAATACTTCTCCTTCTGGGGATAAGGCAACTGAAGTAGGATTAGCCAATGAAGCAAGTGTAGCCTTAATATTATCAGCATTATAACCATAATTGTAGTTACCAGCAATAGTTGAAATAACACCCTCTGCGGATACTTTTCTAATTCTGTTAGCAACATTATCAGCAATGTAAATTTCACTTGATGCAGAAACAACAAATGAAGATACACTTGACAAAGCAGCTTGTGTAGCCAATAATCCATCACCAATACCACCAGCAATAGTTTCAATTACATTGTTGGAGAGTTTTCTAACTCTATTATTGCCACTATCAGCAATAAAGATATTATCAGAACTATCCATAGACAATGAAGAAGGATAATTGAGATAAGTTGTTGTGGCCAAACCATCACCATTAAATTCATAGTTTGAGTCAGATCCAGCAATTAATTGAAGAGAACCATTATCATACTTGCTTATCATATTACCATGGGCAATATAGATTTCATCACTGCTGGAAATAACAATACTAGCAGGACTTGAAACCTCAACAAGTGTGGTAATATTTCCATCGAGGCCAATTTTTCTGATTCTATCATTTCTGGTATCGGCAATAAACATTTCACCAATTGAATTGATAGCAATAGAATTTGGGGCATTGAGAGAGGCACAACAAGCCTTTGAACCATCTCCAGCAAAAGTTGGTGAACCATTTCCAGATACAGAAGTAATAATTCCATTAGAAATCTTTCTAATTCTATTATTGTTAGTATCTGCAAAATAAATATCACCATTAGAGGATATGTGCAAACCATTTGGATTGTTCAACAAGGCATCGGTAGCGCTAATGTTGTTTCCATTATAACCTGTAACGGTTTGATTACCAGCAATAATAGTGACAACACCATCTGGAGACAATTTACTGATTGTGCTAAGTCCTGTAAAGTAAATATCATCTCCAAATTCATTGACACTGGTTGGGAACTCTACCACATTAGTAATAGTAGAAATGATACCGGTTGTTTGATTGATCATTCTAATTCTATTATTTCCACTGTCACAAATGTAAATGTTGCCAGAAGTCTTTGAGGCAAAAACACCAGATGGATAGAAGAGAATTGATGAGGTAGCAACTTGTCCATCTCCTGCAAAATTATTGAGGATACCACCAGCAACACGCTTAATAATACCATTTGAAAGAATCTTGTAAATGACATTTTCTACATTAAAGTAGGTCTCTCCTGTACCGGCAATGTAGAAGGAAGCAGATGGATTGGAAATTAATGTTGCATTGGCCAATTTACCATCCAAATCAGTTAATGTGTTTACAGGTTCTGACGAACCAATGACTGTAGAAATAATGCCTTGTTGATTAATTCTTCTAATTCTATTGTTACTTCCATCGGCAATGGTAATAATATCGGCTCCATCCTTTTGGGCGACATGAACATGATTAGGTGAGAGTGCAGACTGAATTGCTGGGCCATTATCTCCCAAATATGTTGGTTGTCCATTACCAAAAATTGTTGAAATGATTCCTTCCTCAGTAATCTTTCTAATTCTATTGTTCATGCAGTCGGCAATAATAATCTCCTCAGCAGAAATAGCAATGAATGAAGGATTGTTCAAAGTTGCAGCAGTAGCTAAGCCACCATCTCCAATTGGTCCGATATTAGATCCAGTACCGGCTACAATGGAAATTGTATTGGTTGCTGGATTTAACATTTTGAGAATGTGTTGGGATTGTTCCAAAAAGTAGACTTCACCCTCCTCACCAACAGCAATACTGGTTGGAGCAATGGTTGCATTGAGAGCATCAATAGGAATTGGTTGGATTGGAGAACCTGGAATTGGTTGAGCACCTGAACCTGCAACTGTTGTAATAATTCCATTGACAATCTTTCTAATGTAAAACTTGTCGGCAATGTAAATTTCTGGGATGGTATTAATTGGAGCATCTTCCATTCTAAAAAGAGCAAGTCCTGTTGGTTGAGAAAGGAGAGCATCAGTAGCATTGATACCATTGCCAAAGTATCCCTCTTGTCCACATATACCAGCAATGGTAGTGATGGTCTTGTTGGAAATTGATAACTTTCTAATTCTAAAGTTTTGAGTATCTACAATATAGATAAACTCCTCTACACCTTCCATTGAATAGACAATTTGACTTGGAGCAGACAATTGTGCATCACTCAAAGGAGAAGGAACATTATCAGAACAAATAGAGTCCAAATTGTTAGTGGCAAATGTTGAGAGTGTACCATTAATATCAATCTTTTTGATAGACCAAGTTGGATTGTTTTCAACAAAGTAAATATCACCAGTCATTAACGAAACTGTGACTGTGTTTGGATTGGTCAACTTGACAGTATTAGCTGGAAGGCCATCAGTGTTTTCATTAGATGAACCTGATGCTGCAACACCAGCAATGGTTGATACAATAGTAGGAATGTTATCGAAAACTTCTTGTTCAGGATCAACAATAACACCAGTCCAATTATAAGTTAATTTTCTGATTAAATTATTTGCTCTGTCAATAATGATCAAATCTTGAGGTCTTTCATCTTCTACCAAATTTACAAGAGGTGTAGGAATTGTTCTAGGATAGAATGCAATAGCGTGTGGATGACCGATTGGTGTATCAAGTCCATTATAGCCATCACCAAGATTACCTCCAGCGATGGTTTCCAATTTGTATGTAGGAGCCAAGTTGTTATCTGAAGATGTTGCATTGATGGTAGTAGTACTAAACAACAACATCATCAAGAGAAGGCTACTAATAAATAAAGATAATAAATATTCGTGATGAGAAAAAGATTTTACTCTCCCTGCAGAGTCGAAAAACCTCTTCATTTTTGTGCCTTTTTTTCTTCTTGTCGATTCACTCTACTTGTGCATAAGAGAAGAATGTTTGATGGATGGGAAGTAATTTTGGAAGGGCAAGGGCAGAAAGTATGTTGTTTGATGCTAAGAAGTGATCTCCGCATTTTGATTTTGTTGGAGTAAATTTAATTGGCTGATTATTTTTTGTTAGTATTCTTTTTGTCTTCCATTTACGAGAAGATCTTCACGAAAGATTATTTATCTGATATTAAAGATAGCATTGTGATGAACAGATGAAAGCAACACATTTTTATTTTTTTTAAATTATGAATTGTTTATTCTTGTAACGGTAACTTTTACTGCCCGCCACGTTTAAAAAATGAAAAGAAAGCAAGAAACAAAAAACACCAAGAAATTATCTTCATCATCCAATGAAGGACCAACAAAAAAGTTGAAGCAATCCAACCTTCTCTCCCTATTCAAGGCACCTTCATCACCACCAGCCTCATCGCAATCCTCTACTGATACTGACTCATTGACAATAGTAGAGGAGAGTAAAACCTTCTTGGGCACGAATAATAGCTATGAATTGAACAAGCAATTTAAATTCATCAGCTGGAATGTGAATGGAATATCTGCCGTCTTTAGGAAGGAACCCAATTATTTGAAAATGTTGGTAGAGAAGGAAGAACCTACTTGTCTTTGTTTGCAAGAGACTAAGCTTTCTGAAGATGTAAAATTATCGGAAATGGCACAATATAAATTCAAGAATTATATTGGACACTTTAACACTTCTAGGGCAAGAAAAGGATACTCTGGTACTGCTTGTTTTGTTCTAAAGCATGGTCCAAAAGTATTGAATGTCAAGTTTGGTATTGGTAAGGATAAGCATGATTTGGAGGGAAGAACTATTACTGTTGAATATGAAGACTTTTATTTGGTCAAGTAAGTTAATATTTACACATGTGTAATCTCATGCCTTATTATTGAATGAATTGATTCAAAATGATAATCATTTTGTTGACATAATAATAGTACTTATTGTCCCAATTCTGGACAAAATCTCGATCGATTGGAATATAGAACAAAGGAATGGGATGTGGATCTACTCAAATACTTTGAAAAATTGGAAAAGAAAAAGCCAATCATTTGGGGTGGTGATCTTAATGTTGCCATTTCAGAGATGGATATTCATGATCCTCTTACATTATCCAAAAGTCCTGGTTTTACATTGGAAGAACGGCAATCTTCTCCTCTCGTAACAAAGGCCTCACCTCCTTTTATTGATTCTTTCAGATATAAAAATCCATATAAGAAACAATACACATACTATGGTTACATTAATGACATGAGATTACAAAAGAAAGGATGGAGAATTGATTATTTTGTTTGTAGTAATTCTCTAAAAGACAAGATTGTAAATTCTTACATTCTTGAGGAATACTTTGGCAGTGACCATCTACCAATTGGTTTAATCATTAATAAGGAGTAGATAACAACTTGGTTTGGAATGTTCATCTCAATGGTCTTTTCGAATAGGTGTTTATGCAAAATGATAATGAAAACATTCACAAAACATCAAGACAAATCACCAAACCTTAAATGTACGGTTTTATCTCAGGGCATCAAGCTTCATTCTATTACACTTTAATCTCTTGACGAACAGACAATTAATTGAAAAAATTATTCAAACATATTAGAGAAGAAGAAGAATGGGCAACATTTCTGGCTCGACAGCCTGTGACTACTCCAACACAACTGATTATGCATCACCTCGACAACGAAGATTTACCTGTAAATCAACAACATTGGAAAGACATTATTCTATTGCCTCTCAACCACCAATATCTTTACCGAATTCATATACTAATGTATCCTCACTGCAGACCAATAATAATACGAGTATTCTTTCAAGCAGTCCTCATAGTCCTAAAGAATGTCAGCAACAATCTGCCATTACTCAAAAATTAATGACGTTCCTTAGATTTAATCCTCATTATTCGGCAAGAACAATACCAGAAGAACAAGAATTATGGAGAACTATTATTGCTCAATCGGGAATTTCATGTATTCTTTCTACTCCATCCAAGATGAGGGACTTTTACTTGTCCGGATATGATTCTTCGTTTTTAATATTGAAACCAAAAATTGAAGAATTGGAGTATGAATTACGGCCAGTCCTCAAACACTTTGGAAGTTTTGATGCGACTAACAATGATGTAGATGAAAGTAGAGCAGAATTATGGCAATTGATTGACACTCCAGATTATGACAGTGCTGATGTTGTTCAAATGGCCAAACTCAATAAGAATGTCACTGGTTTAAAGTTATTACTCTTGCCTTCTTATCCGAGCATTCCTAAAAACTCCAAGGTTGGTTCAATTCCTGACAAGAATGAATCCCTCACAAAAACCATGAGATACCTATTATCACCATTGGCTGTTGATTTGATTTTTGATACGAGAGAAGAAATTCACTTCAAACCAGTTGTAGCCATTGGCTCTTTATTGTTGGAATGGGATTCTACCGTAGGTCTGTGTATTCCTAGACACTCATTACAATTGTCCAAAATGCTTATCCAAGAAAATTGCATTTACAGCAATGATAAGATCAACATGGAGGAAGCTCTCAATATTGCAAGTGAGCTTATTTGTGAGTGGAACTTGAGAAAACCTGCAATCTTTTCCAGTTTTGCTCCAACTAAGGGCGAAAGACCAAGAAAGCAATCCATTGGTTCTTATTATCCACCTGAACAAAAGATTTTTGAAAATAGGGAGAGAACAGTTGATTCATCAGCTATTCACTTTGCATACGATTTATTGGAAAATATTATCAAGCATTGTAGCACCAATATGGCTAGAAACAATGAGGAGGAAGAGAATGAAATTACCCAACTCTTTTTCCCACAAACTGAGACCTGTACATCACTTCTCATTAAAGAATTACTGCAATATTCAAGTGGAAATACATTGAAATTATTTGATGGTGGCGATTCCATTTCATTACGCTTTCCAGTGACTGAATATTTCAGGGAGAGCTTTGATTTACCAGTGACAAGTCCAAAATTTATTGAGTTCAATTCACATAAGGAATTTGATGAATTTGTTTTGGGATTGTTAGATAAGGAAGATGATTTGGCTAAAAAGTTTCCATCAGAATATGCCATGTTAAAATGCATTGATAGATGCTTTTGGGTAGGTCATTTACACGATGATGAGGAGTATGCATTTGCGCCTAAACGAGATTGCCCCTTCACAGATCCGAGTAACCTTATTGGTATTACACTAACAATGGATCGTTAAATTTATTCTAAAGGTTTGTAAGCTGGTCTACGACGATTCTTCAAGTAAATAAACATCCAATAACCAATGACTGCCAAAATTACACAAACCAAAACAAGGGCAACAACAGAAATAGCTACAGCAAGTTCAAGATCATTGTTGTCACATGGCTGAGAAGGCTGTGATTCAAATTCTTTAGGAATAGGTGGGTCGAACGCTCTCGAGATACGAAGAGCAGAATACTTGTCAGAAAGGTTTTCCACTTGTAATGTTGTTGCTCCACAATTCCCAGAATCAAAAGAAACAATTGATGATAAGCCAAATAATTGCTCCCTTTTGTTGCAAATATTGCAATCTATCACATCTTGAACCCAATATTGGAGATCAGTGCAAACTGATCTAGTTGCCAAAAGAATACCAAGTTCAGCAATGTATTGATATTTCCCCTTAATTTTCATAGCCAAGAAGTTTTCTTGCAATTTACATACACTTCTAGCCTTTCCAAAATCAATAGCTTCGTTAATTTGTATGGTATAGGTACCATCACTATTGAAAACTACATATCCAGATTCTGATAACCTTCCAAACATGTCGTTATTGTCCAATTTCCAATTTTCTGACATTGGGCAAATACTAGCTAATTGGTTTACTTGATAAATTGGACCTTTCCACATTATTGATGCTTTAGATTCCTCATTCCTAATATTAACATAATAATTAACTTGATTATCTTCATCAACATCAAAAAGTGAATACCAATAACTGGCTCCACTCAACCAAAGTGATGAATATTGCTGACAGCCAGTAGGATCTGCCAACCCATTTGGTAAAGCCAAATTTTCACATTGCACATTAAAAACACTCAAATCAATAGAATCTGTCAAATTATCTTTCAATTCATATTCTCCTTTCAAGTGCACATAAACAGGATATTTCCTAATCACATGTTCATTATCACTCGTTTTCACAATATAAACATCAATCATTCTCGTACTATTATTAACCTTGACTGCAAATATATGACTTTTATATGATTGTGTATCATCATCCAAAAATCCTCTCCAAACCTTATTAAACACTTCATCCCGAAGATTGTTCACTCTAGCCTCCATCTGTACATTCATCATGACGATTACTACTAACATGATCAAAACCACATAAAGGCTTACTAATCGATATATCCGCCGCGTCATTATTGTTTAAAATTAATATTGTTGTTATTGTTCTAATAAATAAATTGTTGTATTATTTGATGATATGATGAAAATTGTCCCGCACTGTAATTTGTTATTTTATCCAAATCTTTTGGTAGTAGAAGAGCGTGCGGGTAATGGCGGAGATTATGATATTTTTTTCTGTTGAATTTTTACACTTTTTTATGGATTTTTAAAATTGTAAAGATTCCAAAATAAATCATGAAGGATTTTGGATGGATATGGAATGGACACAGGTGGATTGGAGGTTGTATTTGAGGATTTTTGAGGTTTAGCATTTGGGAAGTTTCAATTTGGGTTCAAAAATTGTTTGAAATTTTAACAAATTTAGATATAATCCAAATCTGAATATTGTGAACTAGTCAAAATGTTGACATCCGTGAAATGATTATTCTCCAATTTGTAAAGTAATCTCCTCCCCATCAAATTTTCAAACTTTTTATCCAAATTCCAATTCACAAATGATTCTCTCACATTAAATAACATTGAATTCATTACCTGATTGACATCAAATTCATCCAAAGTATTAATGGCATGGAAAGTGATTGAAGATTCGTATTCTGCTTCACTTTCTCCATAGTAATGTGAATGATAGCTGATTGAGTATCGATTTTGGATTTGTTTGAATCGTTCGAGGATGTAATTGAAAACTTGTTTTGGGTTTTTACGATTTCCATTGAAATCTGAAAAGTATTGAGAAAGTGCATTGGATGCTTCACCTTTGGAAACCTTTCGAATGAAGGAATCGACCTTTGTGAAGAGAACAATCTTTCGAATAGATGATTCGCCAAGTTCCTTCTTGGAAAACACTTGTTCGAAATAGGTTAAACTATCTAGCAATCTATTACCTGGTTTGGTTTCTGATTTGGAAGGTGAAATTAAATCTTCAAAACTTAACATGTCAATATCCGAAAGTGAAACTGTGAATATAATACATTTCAAATTTTGTTTTTCCAAATATGGAAGATAGAGAGCTCGTTTTTCTTTCCATCCAAAAGTTTCCAATAACAATAGCTTTCTAGTCACCAATTCTCTATTTTCCAAAGTTGGTTTTGTAATATCCTTCACTGGCATACTTTCCAAAGATAGAATTTTAGCCCTCACAATATCTTGTTTGGTCAACTCGGTAATTTTCTTCAATTTTTCAACTCTGCCATCATTTAAAAAGTATTCAATATTCTCTCCCAATAGTGGAATTGGAGTTTTCCTCGAATTTCTCTCTCTATACGATTTTTGGACGAAAGGATGTTTCCACAATTGATCCATCACTTTGAAAAATTCCTTCTGCTTCCATAATCGTCTTAGAATTTGTTGAGATGATGAAACTGAGTTGTTATCTGATGAATTAACTGTCATTGAAGAACTTCCATTATTCGAATTTTGGCTTGTTTGAGGATTTAATGAGAAAATATTCGAAGGAGATTGGTTTCCATTCGGTGATGTCTTTCCATTCGTAGAATTCACATTCGTATTCATTGAACTATTCGATAAATAATTAATTCTTGGAGAAACTGACTCTGGATGAATCATATTTTGAAATTGTTGAATTAAATCTGAAAATTGTTGAGTAAATTCTGGTGAAGAATTTTGAATTTCCTCAAAATTGACTTCATGTTGTGAATGTACAAGGATTTTTAAACAGTAAATGCAATAGAGAAGTATTGAATCTCTATAGAATTTCAATTCTTCAGTTTTGTAATTGTAATCTCTCAAAATTTCCATCAAAGTTGCTAAAATAGGAAACTGTCAGAATTCAAAATTATATTGACACTTACTTTTACCGCTATCTACACCTCCAAGAATGAGAACTAATTTACAATCTTGTAATCTTTTCAAATGTTCTTGATGTGAAATGCCACTAATCAATTTTGAATAAATATTGAACTGGGTAGCTCTTGGAGTTTTCATTGCAGAACTTGAACTTCCAATATTTAATAATGAAGTTGATAAAGATTTACTCTTCCTGTCAGAATTGATGACTGACAGTTGTTCGACATTTGTTAGATTGAGTGTTGGCACTTTCGACACTTCGGAAGATTTTGTATTTTTCAAAGCATCAAAAACAGGATCTTCTGTTTTGACATCCGAAGTATTATTTGATGTTATCATGGATGTCAAAATAAATCTGCCAACTGACTGGCTTCTTTGATGTTTGGCAGGTTTTAATCCTTCCCTTCCGTTCTGTTGTTGTAAATTTGCAAGATTTGAATTCGAATTATTTAAAGTAAACGAAGACGAATCTACTTCTATTCGAATCAGACTTTCAATTCCATTTGATAGAGAATCTCCAGCATTTTGTTGGTCAAGATCTGGTGATGAAAGTTTTATTCCCATTTTTTTTGATTGTTTTCTACGACCTGTCAGTGACCTAGTCCACCAATCAAATAATTAATGACATTTCGCAGATTATCAACGTTTATCTCTGCAGTGAACACCATGCAGTTTTCAACACCATCACTGCAGAGATTATCTGGTACATCAGTAAAAAAACTGTAAATTGTTGCTGATTGAGTAATTTCCTCTTTGAGAATCTTTCAATAATTACAATACCAGAAATTGTTATAAGCAGGGTTCTCCACGTGGTTATAAGTTGCCAAGGTTGTGGCGATTTTTGCGCATATCCCAAGCGAATATCTTAAAGTTGTGCGGCATTTCATCAAAAAAAACGACTCTACATGACTTTTGGCATTTCATTGATGTCTTCAGAGACAATGGCCAATTCAACAATCTATGCTAATCAGACATATTGTGATGAAGCTCTTTTCAACTTGCCGTCATCAATATATTTGGACTCTATTCCACAAATCATAAACGGAGTTTGTCCTGACACCATTTTCACACCAATTTCATCGAGCTTGGTCCTATTGAACCATCTTATCATTGTCTTTGTGGGGCTAGCTGGTGTCATTTACAAACGCAACAATGCTCATATAAGATATAGAAGTCCAGTTTATTTGTATTGGAGTATGTTTGCTAGTACTCTCCTTGTGGGTATTAGTTGTTTGAGGTTTATGATTGGGAGGACTATCTTTCCATGCCCGTTGCATGCTGTTACCTTCTTTATATTTCCACAAGTTTTAATGATGCCGTCCATTCTGAAATGTTTTAGAGTGTTTCTTCTATATAGGATAAATTTGGAAAAAAGTAAAGTTCACAATGAGGCTAGATTTTCAATTGCTGTTAAAGAAAAAGGCATAGAATTGGAGTCAAAGGAATTATCTGAAGGCTCTCCTGCTGTTGGTACGCCTGAATTGAATACCAGTTCATCAAATATCATGTCAATTGCCACCGATGATGACAGATCAAGTGAAGCAGGTGAAGCACTGTCTGAAATTTCCACAACCCAAACTAGAAAAATCAAAATCCTTGAATTTCTAGCCAGTACCAAATTTGCCACCATCATTTACATATCCTTACTCATTTTCCATCTTTGTTTTTGGTTAATTTTTTCAGGAATTGACCAAGCAATTTCCAATTCAGGAAATCCAGGCAAAACCATCGTTCTACAAGTTGGTTTACTAGATTTCACCAAAGGATGTGTCTCCTCATCCAATGCAGTCCTCCTCGTAGCAGCTCAATGCATCTTTTACTTGATTATTGAAATAATCGTCTTTGTCTTGTTTGCTTTTTTCACAGATCGAGATACTTGGGGAATGAAGAGAGAAACCTTTGTTCTGATTTCGTTTCAAGTGGTGGCTGCCATTTTATACATTGCTTTGGGGAGTATTGGGATTATTAAGACTCTGGTTGATTATTTTGTGGCGTATGCTCATGTGATTTTGATTTATGTTGGATTGGAATTGTGTGTGAATGTTGTGGCACCTGTTGGATATGCATTTATGATGGATTGGAAGGAGGGAAGAGGAGAGGAGATGGATACAGTTGGAGGGTTTTTGCAGGATAAAAAGAATGTTGAAAATTTGTTGGATTTTGCCAGAAGAAGGTAATTATTTTTTAATTTTTTAATTTTTTTTTATTTTAATTTCCAAAATTAGTTATTGTCCAGAAAATGTCTTATTTTGGAGAGATGTTCAAAGATTTAAAAAATCCAACAAGAAGAATAGAAACAAAATGGCCCAAGTCCTCATTAACACCTACATGAAGCAAACTTCTCCTGTCGAATTGAATTTACCAAGTGAATTGAGTAAATTAATTCCAAATTTAGAAATTCAAGCTAATGAAACAACTCCAGTCGATGCAAATATCTTCCAACAATTTGAATTGCATTGCTTGAATGATTTGTGTGATATTTTCACAAGATTTAAGGCCTCCACCAAATATGGAAATAATTAATATGTAACAATTTTATTTTTTTATGGAATAATTTACAATTTACTGGCAAATCCTGAGAATGAATTTGTTTCAGATGAATGGAAATTAATTTCATCACGAATGGAATTGGACCAAACCATAGGTTTACCTGTCAAATCTCTGACATCTGTAAATAATAGTTTAGAATAGTTTCTACTGGATGCTTGAGTAATCTTCATCAATGGACTCTTTCTTACTTGTTTAGGATCCAAGAGTTTCAAATCTTGGAAGCTGTAATACAATTTGGCGAAACTCAAGTTTGAGTTTTCATACGAATCTAGAATAAACTTGTTGAAATCGTAATCACCCAATGTAACGAAGATAATATTTGCTACTTGTGCATTGTTCTCCAACTTTGAGTTTTCCAATTTGGAAAAGACAATATTCTTGACATCTGAAACTAGTTTCGAATATTGTGAACGATTCAATGGCATTGGACCTTCATGGCTTTCATCCATCGAATGAGAAACAATGTTGTTCACCATGAAACTTGGAATTCTTTCACCAGTTTCTTTCATTTCTGCATATTTACACTTCCATAATTGGAAAGTAAAGTTTTCTTTCGTATTTACATAACAACCAGCAAATGAATCATGTAAATAAACACAATCTAAATCCTGAATCAAGAATCCATCATTACCATAAACATCTTTCATTGTAGAAACATAATCTTGCACATCATCAATTTCCCTCACATTCGTCTCGTTTTTTTCTTCACCTTCTCTCTTAACATTCATACCAATAAATGTCAATTTCTGATCACCAACGAACATGCCACAATTCCTAGTCATACCAACACTCTTCATATTATCTTCAAAGATGTTACAGTATCCATATCTAGCACCCATCCTTTTTTGGATAAGTACTGCCAAATACATCATTAAATATTTGGAATCAAAGTTTGCTCTCATCCTCGTATTAACCCATCCACTGCCATTAACTCCTACTTTCATTTGTTTTCCATTGATGAAGGCATCTTTGATGGAGAAGGCATAAATGCTTGCTGGAATGGCTTGGAATAGGTCAACTGAAGAAAGTGGAGAATTGAGTGGTGTTGCATCTTGTGGAAGTTCTTTAATGTAGACGATGAAGTGATGGGCTGAATGTTTGAATTGAGAGTATTGAGACCATCTTTCGTATAGATTCTCATGGACCTTTAGCATGGAAACAAGTTTCTTATCGTTGAGATAGTAAAAGTATTCGTCGAAACATTCCTTTTGTTTGTCGATGGCAGCTAATTCTTGTTGGAACCATGATTGGAGAGGGGAGTTGTTTTGATTCGTCTTGTTTCCAATATCTTTCATTGTCTTGATTGATGCGCTGTGGTAAATCTTGGCCAACATGGGATTTTGTGGATGTAAGAGAAAGACCAAATAGAAAGGTTTCTCGCTCACTGTATTCTTCGAATCTAAACTTGGCGAAACTACTTTAAAATCTTTAGTGTAGAATAAGTATTGATGAGTGAGCAACATGTCCACATGTTGTTCTGTAATAACATTCTGATAAGCTGCCTCCATTTTCTTTTTTTTGTGTTACCAATAATTATTCGAAACAGAGAAACTGTATTAAGGTGGATTGCACTGGATTGTTCTAGTTGATTGGGTGGTGCCAATGATTATCTCTGATTTCCTTTTTTATCATGTTTAAAAACAATCTTATAGATAAAAACGAAAAGATTCTATTGATTGAAGAAAAATTTTTACAAGCTGGAAGATCTAGTAATCAAAGATCAGCAGATCTATTGGTTGACCAAAAGATTGACGTGTGCTATTCATTTTAAATAGTGTATTGTTTGTGAGACGGTGTTACACTTTCAAAATCTCGCGAATTAATTGTATTGGCTATTGGATGTTGTAAATTCAATGTCCAATTACAAAAAGTGGACGGTTGAACATTCATTTGATGATGATTAGAAATTTTTAACATTTGTGTGGTTTTTGTCTGTCGTTCATTCTACTTGATCCTTAATGCCGCAGTTGCTCTTGTCAATGTGGAGAGTTTCTGCAGGACTTGTCTGCGTTACTAATCTGGATCATGAGTTCTTTGAAAAATTAGTTTGCTCTTCTGTGCATATAGTTAGTTTGTATGTCAGACAACTCTTTCATAGGAATCTTTATGTTGGGGAAATTTGTTCTTCTATTGATCATGGCATGAGATGATCATCAAGATTACATGAAATGTAAAGGATTTGATCAAGGATATATTAGAAATGAAGTCTTTAAGATATAAAAGAAGAAACTGGTCTTTTTGGAATTAATTAAATAATTATTTACAAAATTCTCAATTAATTTTGCATTTCTAATTTTCAAACAAAGCTGTAAAGGTGGATTTGACTCAAATATTTCAGAATTTCACAAACAAGAACCTAAAATAATTGAAATGCTATAGTACTAATTGTCATGATAATTTCCTATTATGTATTCTGTTGCCGTAGGATTGACCTATTCGAATTCTTTCGGCTAACACTAAAAAGGGATATCCGTGTCTTGTTAGCGACCTCACAAATCAAATTTATTATTTAAACACAAAACTTAAAAACAACAACATCAACATGGTTACCCAACTCGTTTTTACTTTTCTCTTCTTTTTCTTGTGTTTGGTTTCTTCTTCCTTCTCCTTTCCAACAAAAATTATTCACTTTACAGAAATTAGTACAACAACACAAAATGTAGAAATTTACGGAGCATTCAACTACTTTTCGATATTTACATGGAAAGGGCTGGGAATTAAATCACTTTCACAATTAAACATTTCGTCCAATGCACAACTTTCCGAAATATTTTCAAAATATCAAAGTTATGCATTACAACGAATAACAACAAACCAGCATGACAACCAGCAGCAGCAGAATAGTAAATTCACAATTGTTTGCTCTCACTTGTATCCATGTCGTAGAATTTGGAAAATTCTCGACTTGAATAGTAATTATTTCGAATTACTAATAATACCCAACATGTATCCTGATTGTGTCCGTGGATCAGTATTGGAATTGGGTGATGGATTTTTGGCAACTTCAATGGATTTTGCTCGACTTGTTAGAGTGAATCAAGTTGCAACGAGGAAGGGTTTATTTAGAGAACATTATGATAATAGTATGATACAAATAGATACAAGGTATGATCCTTATGATTTCTATTCGATTCCACTTGTGCCCACACAATTACTTCTGTCTGTGCATGCAGCAGCAGCCATCATCAGCAACAAGTGTTGACATGTCAACAATATCTGAGAATGAAATCAGATCATTCTCAGATATTGTTGAGGATCATCTTCATTTCATTAACGATCAGGGATTGAGTTGTAAAAGTAGTCAAATTCATGATTCGTATGTTTGGGATAAATTACATGGTCTAGTAGATGTAGGATCGAGTCATTTGACCTTCCTCAACAATCTCACAACATCTATAGTGGGATTTCCTGTCAATATTACATATAATAGAGATCCATTAGTAGAATATAGAACATTTATAATTGAGGGAGGAGGAAGAAATGTCTTTAGACTAAGTACTCCAGATTATGTCAACACATTGTTATGGAATTCTACATGTCACTTTTGTTCATCCACTGAATGTTTGGCAGAATCTATGGCAAGTAACGATTATTTCATTTTCGTATATTCTGTACCTAGTATTATATATTATTTGAGTTTTTTTGGATTGGGAATGTTCAGAAAACCATCAATGAGAAATAGATTATTAATTCCTTATATATTACCAATATGTATAATTGTCTTTGAAGTTTGCTGGTCGGCATTCATTGTGAATACTTGTAAATCAGTATTCTCAATTGTTTCCTTGTTAATTCTTGGATTTTTTACAATTCTAAATGGAATTGTTGTTCTTCGAATTAAGGGAGCACAAATATTGTATCATAGAATGATTGGGAGGGAAAATAGTTCCAAATTAATCAAATTACTAGTTTCGGAAAGGCTGGGATGGATATTATGTATTATCATTCCAAGTATTTTCATGTTGATTTATGGAATACCTCCATTGTTTGTTTCCATCTTTGATTTCCACAAGATTTTATACATTAATAATTTGATATTTGTTGCCTTTGCATGTATTGGATCAATTACTGCCTTGTTGTATAACACTATTGATTTACTATTTAATTGGAATCATCTCCGAGAAAAAGGTTTGTTAATTATATTATAATAATATTTAAATTAATAATTACTATAATTATTATTATTATTATTATTATTGTAAATTAATTTAGGAATATTTTACTATTTGTTTTTCCAAGATCCTCTCTATCTTCGATTAGATACTCTATCAATATCCTTAACAATTGTTCCCCTAGCCATCTATATCGGAATTAATGTCATCTACTCACTTTCCTACCAATCTGTTGCTAGTAATATTATACGATTAATTATCTCAACATGGCTCTTACTATCATGTGGCGGCTTTGCAATGATTGTTGAGATGGTTTACATGTTATTAAACTCGAGGAAAGTATCATCCCCGAATAGAGATTCAAAAACTGATGATATCAAATATCTACTATTGAAGAATGAAAAGTTTACCTCTCTTTTCAAAGAGTATTGTGAAGGAGAATTAAGCGTTGAAAATTACTTCTTCTATCAGGAATTGATCAATATTCAGAATGCAAATTGTGTTTCCAAAGAACAATTACAAAAGTTGGAATCCAAATTCATCAACACTTATGCAGTATTCCGTGTAAATATTTCAAATAATTGTAGGAAGGAATTCTACAAGACTTTAAAAGAGGTTAAGCAATCTACAACCTCTAGTTTTGTTCTTGATCGTTATCTTGAAGAGAAACCAAAAAGTGATCAAGACAGGAAACGAGAATTTAAAAGCTTAATTGTACATCAATCCCAAGATAACCTAATGGAGCATGTTGACATTTCAGAGAATGTTGTAAATACTCCACTCTCATCACCACCAATAAGGAGTCACAGCAGTAGCAATGCTTCTTATCTGAAGGATAGTTTGAGTATTAAAGTTTGTGGCACGATTGAAAATTTACTGCTCGGCATTCAATTGAATATTCAAGAGACTTTCACCCGATTCCAAAATACTAGAGAATACAGACAATGTCTTGCTGAGAGCAGTGAATTATCAGCAGTGGCCTCTACATCAACTACGCCCAACTCCAACAACAGGAAGAACCTTGCAGTAAGATTTGATGATGAATAAAATCATCGTGATGAGGTTTTTTTAAGGAATTTTTTGTTAAGGTTTTTTTGAAGTTGCAACAACACTGTGTAAAGTTTTGATGGCCATTATTACGACCTAAAAGACTTCATAAGGAACCAAGAGTGGAACATTTTTGTACTGTATCAATGATTTATTTAAAAATCGTATTTCTTCTTTTTGAGTTTATCAACCTTAATCTTATCAATCTTCATTTCACGTTGGAAAGCAAGAGATTGTTTGAATCTGTGGTGAGTATCCATCATTACCAAACAAGTTTCCTTTTCCAAAATATTGAACATATCTTCTGGTAGTGTTTCAATTTGCTTATCGTTGTAACTGTCAAGCTTATCCTTGACAGCATCAGTAAGAACATGAGAAATATTGACAGCCATATCACCAGTAACTTCCAAAAATTCAGTAAATATCTCAAAAGCAACTTCATACTTTTTGGCTTCAACTTCAGCATATTCTTTTTCAAGTGGGGAAAGCTTCTTTTTTCCAGAGTGGGCTGAATCACCTGAAACACCTGAAATTTCACTAGAAACATCACTTTGTACATTGCTTTCTCCGAATAATCTCATTTGCAAGTCAATGGAACGTTCGCACAATGATCTATAATAATGAATCTTTTCCAAGAGTAAAAAGTTTTCAGTTGACTTTTCCTTTTCACAATGTATCTTAAATAATGTTCTCAATCCATCATCCTCCATAGTGTCCATCAACATGACAGCATTGGCACGACGAATCTTCTCCAAATATAATGAGTCACGGTTAATGGCATAAGTAAAGACAAATACAATGATTGGCAAAATGACGAATAGTGAAACGGCAATGACAATCAATTGAACCAAAGTAATGGCCAGAACATTCTTGTCTTTGGTACTTTCTTTCTCTTGTACAAAGGTGACCAATTTATCGAGACCTTCTTGGAAAGTTGTCTTGATTGTATTGTATGATGTTGAACTCAGTCTTGTTTTGGCATCTTCTGGTTGTGTTCTGATAATTAGTAATATCTGAGAATTTGCTCCATCCCAATTATTTGAAGCCTCAACAGTTGTAGAGTTAAACATGGTCTGAATGGAAGCATCATCCACGTTCTTTAAAATTGTTTGTAAGGTTTTTTTCAGTGTTTGAGTAGAGTTTTTATACTCTTCCTGAACTAGTAATCTCTGATCTTCTGATGAGTAACCAGTATAAGTATACTTTAAAACTAGAGCATTGGAGCTTTCAAAGATGGAAGTAACTTTACCAACAGCAATTAAAATATCGGTTGACTTGGTTGTGGTAGCAACGAATGCAGCAACAGCTACGCCAGCCAATACTAACAAACCAATAACTGTCACCATCATACCTAGTAAACAAGCCAATTTCATTGAAGTTAGCTCAACAACACCACAACATGTTCGCAAAGTAATTTTACTCTGACTGAAAGAACTTCCAGACCTTCCACTTTCGCTATGATTCACAAAACCAACTTGAGATTGAGCAGCTGTTGTTTGTTTTGCTGTTGTAGTTGGTGATGCAATAGTGACCTTCTTTGAGTTATTTGTTGATGGAAGTGCTGTTATATTCATTGTGTTATTTGGTTTGTTGTTGTCGAGTGGAGTTGTTGATTGTGGAAATGATGGTGAAGAGGACGTTGTTGGATTATTTGCTATTGTTGTTGTTGTATTGTTATTATTGTTGGAGAGATAGGAAGTGGCATTATTGGCTTCGTTTGAGGCAGGAGCTAGTGAAGGTGAGCCTGTTGTGGAGGCTGTTGATGGTGGTGTATTCATTTCTTATTATTCTTATTGAAATTGCTACCTAAAGTTTATGTTGTTATTCGAATGTGGTGTGATTTGATTGTTTTTGAAAACTTCATAACATGAATTGATTGCAAGGAGATAAATCAATTTAAGGAAATAGATTTATGAATCATGCATTCAATATCAATACTTCTTCATAACAACTTACCAAATACTCTTTGCAATTCTTCTTCTTCTCCAAGTAGTTTACCGTGAATGTTGTTGTTTGAGAATGCAAAAATTTACGGAATGATTTTGGAGGTAATCTTTGAGTTGTTTTTTTGTGTGATGTTGAAATGGTGTTGTCTTGCAAGGTCGGGTTTTTTGCTTTAATATTCTTGCTGATCGCGCTTTACTGAATCGCCTTCCTTCTTGGTGAAATGATTGCTGGACATATTGTGAAAGGAGGTATTTATATGGAAATTCATGCGAAAGTAAGCAAAGCCAAAGGTGGAAGTGTTTAAGGATAGATAATTAGTGTTGTTTTTAATTTTATTTGAATATTTTGAAGATATTAGATGATGAAGAAAGTGGATGAAACTATTGATTTCAGCAAAGAAAATGTAATACAACATTAGGACGGTTATTAGAAAAGACAATTTAGAAAGAAGAGACAAAGCGGATAGATTCCGATTTTAGGCAACCAATTAAATTATGGAAGCAGACGAAAATAAATGGAATTGTTGCATCTGCCTTATCAACTTTATCCTTCCAAGAGAAATAAAATAAATTTAGAAAGTTGAAATGCAACGTTCTGTGAACAGTTCCACCTTTTGGCTTTCTGTCAAATAGTGTAATGTTACTGTAAATCATGTTAAATTGAAAATTCATTTACAACATACTACAGTGAAATGGGTATTTAATTATTAGGTTTGAGTTCACTTAATTTGTTTGTCGATTTGTCTTGATGTCAGTTAAGAATTTGGAAATGTCAATAGTTCGCTGTTTGTTGCCTTGTTTGTAAAATCCATTTTCTTAAATGAGTAAAATACCCTAGTAAGAGTAGTGAAGAGCTATTTGTGATTCAATCATCAAAGTACGGTATTTTCATTACCATCTTCCTTTTATCTAATCACGAATCAAACAACTTGCTCAAATCCACATAAAAGTAAAATAATAAATTTATAATAATAAATAATAATCAAGGGGGGACATAGTTATTTTTAGACAAGCTACTTGCACGGTAAAGTTTTGAAGCAACCATAGGGAGAAAGGCTTTGCTTTCTTTCTTGATATATACAATAAATGGTGAAATGAAGATTTCAGAATAGACAGTCAACTCAATGGTATATCTAAAACTTTTTTCTGTTTTTTTGGTATTATTGTAGTTATTGTGTAATATTAGTGTAAAGTTCCCATAACATTTAAAGTACCATACCATTGATATTTTCTCGCCACCATTTGAGAGATAGGTGAATAGTATCTATATAATTATACTCTAAAGAGCCGAGTCGTCAGAATCAGTATTGATCTTGGTGTATCCCACAGGAGGTAAGTAGTAGGAAATACTTCGTCAAAAAATGACTAGCGAAATTTTGTTGTAAAGAGATGAGTATTATGTCTATATATAAACAACCTCAGCCAATAAAAATTCATGGATTCGTTATAATAGATATATATTATCAGTGGTAAAATATTTGTCTGTCAATATGACTTATTAGAGTAATGTAAACTTGATGAAAGTTGTTCGTCATTTTATCATTATTTTATAATAAGGAAAAAAATTAGTTGGTAAACTATACTTATTTTTGGAGTAAATAATTGATTTCAATCAACTATTATTTCTATAACCGTTTCTGCTAATGTCTATAAACGACTGGAAAAATATGAGAACAAACAAGCATAAATTTATTTATTAAATTAGCACAGGATAATAGAATAGTGAAAATCCAGTTGTTTATTCAATTTTGATGGAAACTGATTTTCTTTTCAAAAAATTGTCATCTTATGCATTCATTGAAGCTCAAAAATAAATTTTTTTATTTATTTTAATTGAAAATAATGAGTTTCTTGTACCATAATATTTTTTAAAAAATGTATGACTTCAACAAATTCTTCACTATGTCCCCCCTTGATAATAATAATGTGGTGTAAAATCTTAGAATATTCGTAAAAAAATTATGCAAATAGCCCTTTTCAGCTCTTCTGATTTTCGGAGTGGTTTTGCAGTGGGAAAGCACCAAACTTTCCCATCATCTCAACATCATCTAAATAGTAGTAATAGTAGTAATTTTTATTGGTGGATTATGTATCATCATGAAGTTGGAATTTATTTTTCATGATGGAAAATCTCAAGTTGGTGTTCCATCATCCGATCATTCCACCAACCATCATCATTATTGTTTTCCATCAATATTAATAATAGTATTTGTGGAAATTAATTTTTAGTATTGTAATTTTGGTGAAATGTCAAAATTTTCACTAAATTCATCATCACTGCTTGATCTACTGGACAAGTTGGAAAACTGTCAATGTAGCATTGTTCGGAATGGTCAATAGTAGGTAGGAGAACTTTCTCTGATCAATTTTGGTCAAGTTATGATAGGGATAGGTACATGTGAATTTTGAAAAAGTACATGGACCATAACTCAACATGTACTTCACCAACTTGAATCATGTCTTTTAGTACTACTATTTAAATAGATAATAAACATCATATTTATTATCAGATTTTCATCATGTTGTCAATTTACCAAGTTCCGATTTTTGATGCTACCAGAGTTGATTCATAGCCCAATTACAAATCAAACAACAATAAAACAACAATTCATAATGTTTATTATGTTATTAAATGTATAATTTCAAGTCTTGTAGCATAATTTGTGAAAATCATTGATATCTGATATTTTCATGTTTTTATTGTTTTTCTCATGATGTGGAAATTGACTTCTCACTGAAACATCACGAATAGCATGTCATTCATCCATTCTCTACCAGATAATTATCTTTTACTGTAATTTTCACTATTGGATATTACTTTTAATATTTGTGATACTTTACTATTTTATTCAATGAATAAGGGATGAGAAACATTCATTAGAAGAAGAAAGATTCCCAGTAATATATTCTCTCTCTGTACAATTTATTATTTCAATATCTGTCAAATTAATTGAGATAGAAGGTATTTCATCAGCTCATATCAAAACAGCTGGAGTTGAACTACCTTGAAAAAGAAGCCTGGAAATTCCAGGAAAGAATTTGGAACAAAAATCTTTCCTAGAAAATCCAGAGAAAAATCTTTCCGGCTACACTCACCACAAGTTTGCTCATCACATGGTTCTTGTGTTGCTCCCAATAATTGCTCTTGCCTTAATGGATATTATGGAAGTGAGTGTGAACATTATAATTGTTATGGTATTTATTATAATTCATCACAAGTGTGCTCATCTCGTGGTGTTTGTGTTTCTCCTGAGAAATGTAAATGTTCAGATGGATATTATGGTAATAATTGTGAACAGTTCAATTGTTCTGGCGTTCATTTCAATTCATCACAAGTTTGTTCTTCACATGGCACATGTATTCTTCCAGAAAAGTGTATTTGTTCTAGCGCTGGCTGGAACTAATTGTGAGATCTATAATTGTTCTGGAATTGTAAACACCTCACCAGAAGTTTGCTCTTCACATGGTATTTGTGCATCTCCTTTTTAATTGTAAATGTTCCAATGGATATTATGGAACCATTTGTGACTTGTTTGATTGTTTCGGTGTTGAACATTCGAATAGCAGTATTGTCTGTTCAGGAAATGGTATATGCCAAACTCCAGATTTTTGTAAATGCAACAATGATCGCCATGGAATCCAATGTGAGGCTGTAGGAAAATGTGTCACTGTTAATAATTCAACATTGTGTGCTAAATCCTCAACTCACTCCTTCGATATTCATGTAATTTTCATGGTTGTCTTGTTGGTAGCATTGTTTTTAACTCATAACAGTTTGTAAATCAAATAAATGGTCTTATTATTCTGTGAAAGTAAAAGATGATGACGTGCCTCGAAACAAGTTGAATACTGTGTATGCATACTGTGATAATAGATTAATTTGGTGAGGAGACTGTTTTAATCTACGGATTACCTTTCTTGTACAGATATTCTTTATATTTTAAAATTTATTATCTTCACCTTTCAGATGGCAATTAAAAAAAAATGTCTTCACTTGCTACCAGGGCACAACTGTATAATCCTGTTGGTATTTTTGTTTCATCAAATAATGAAGTTTATATTGCTGATTATAGTAATCATAGAATTAGAAAAATATTAAAAAATGGAAATATTGCAACAATCGCTGGAAAGGGAACTTGTGGCTTCAGTGGTGATAATGGTCCTGCAACAAATGCACAAATTTATTATCCTTCTAGTGTTTTTGTTTCATCAAATAATGAGGTTTATATTGCTGATCAAAGTAATCACAGAATTAGAAAAATATTAGAAAATGGAAATATTGTAACAATTGCAGGGAATGGAATTGGTGGCTTCAGCGGTGATAATGGTCCTGCAACAAATGCACAAATTTATTATCCTTATAGTGTTTTTGTTTCATCAAACAATGTAGTTTATATTGTTGATTATGGTAATAATAGAGTTAGAAAAATACTAGGGAATGGAAATATTGTAACAATTGCAGGAAATGGAACTTCTGGATTCAGTGGTGACAATGGTCCTGCAACAAATGCACAACTAAATAATCCTGTTGGTGTTTTTGTTTCATCAAATAATGAAGTTTATATTGCTGATCAAAGTAATCACAGAATTAGAAAAATATTAGAAAATGGAAATATTGTAACAATTGCAGGGAATGGAACTGGTGGATTCGGTGGTGACAATGGTCCTGCAACAAATGCACAACTATATATCCCTTATAGTGTGTTTGTTTCAAACAATGAAGTTTATATTGTGGATTATGGTAATAATAGAATTAGAAAAATATTAGGGAATGGAAATATTGTAACAATTGCAGGGAATGGAACTTCTGGATTCAGTGGTGATAATGGTCCTGCAACAAATGCACAACTGAATAGGCCTTCTAGTGTGTTTGTTTCAAACAATGAAGTTTATATTGCTGATCTTAATAACCATAAAATTAGAAAAATATTAGAAAATGGAAATATTATAACAATTGCAGGAAATGGAACTAAGGGATTCAGTGGTGATTCACCATTTGATATTAGAATGTATCCTCATATTGGAAATAACTTATTTACTGGAAGTAGTATCTTGTATTCTAAAATACAAGTTCATAATTTGTGCAAACATTCAAGAGATCAATTATTTGGATTGCAAATTTATGGATTCATTCCATTCATTGAGAAAATTTCACCACAGTTTAGTAATATTTTGAAGAATGAAAAAATACTTTGTTTGATGAGTTCATCACAACAAGAAATTATTCAAAAATTAATTGACTCTTTGATATATGATAAAGATAAGGTAATGTTTAGCAAAGAAGAAACGTTGGATGTTTTATTCATTTTGGGTTTATTCAAGAATGGTGAATTTATTGATTTGAAAAGATCATTGACAAGTGGGTTTGTGAACTCACTCACATTAGAAAATCTTCTTTTGAAATGGGAAACAATTGAGATTTTACTGAAAATTTGCAAGGAAGAATTCAATGTTCAAAATTACATTCTTGATCATTTGAATAACTATTGTATTGAATATGCTGTTGTTCAAATGAAAACCAAAGAAGGAAACGCCTTATTATCTACCCTTCCAATAATTATGAGAAATGGTGCTACCATATTTCCAAAATTGATCATTACTCAACCAACTGCAATTAATATTGAGGAAACAATTGAGATTAAACCACAAACAATTGAATCATTATATAATGACATGAAAACAAGTGATGTGAAAATCAAAATGGGACAAAACAAATACCTATATTGTCACAAAACTGTATTGAGTTTTTCAAGTACATTCTTTAATGCACTTTTTGACAGCGGATCTTGTTTCAGTGATTTAAGTGATGACGGAGTATTCACACTAAACGAACCAGAAGATTTGGAATTATTGGAAATTGTGATTAAATATTGTTATGGAATTTCAATTGACAAAATTGATCCTGTTAAAAGTATGGGATTACTTGATATGGCAATGAAACATGAAATTCCATATCTGGTTGATTATTGCAAGAATAGCTTTAATCTATCTATTGATAATTACTTTAATATGCTTGAAGTATGTGAAAATTATTTTGATTTACAACTATTTGAGCCATGTTTCAGAGAATTTGTCAAATTTAGCATTGCCAACAGAAAACAACTTTTCAGTGATCGCGATAGAATTTCCAAATTACCTGAAAAAGTGTTGCAAGAAATGGTCTTTTCGTTTTCTCAGGACTTTTGAGAGATTTCTGATTGATATCATTATGATCTATTAGTTTCGCTACGTAGTGGTGTAACTAGCAACCTGTTGATTTGCATGAATCTGAAAAATGCAGCACTATCAAGTGTTGTGTGTCATAATTATCGCACGATTAGCTGTGCCAATTTTATTCCTTTCCATAAAAGTCGCACCGAGTGTCATTCCAAATTTATACCAATAAACAAAGTTTAGACATGTTATCATCTGCTACTTTCACCACGTATTCTTTTCACGGTTGGCATAAATGCCATCACACAACTCGAATAAACTTTGTATTTTATGTTTTAATTGCTGAAAATAATCATAGGAAATCTACTTTCAAGTTTGAAACCATTGTTATGCTCGTAACGAAATTTCCATTCAGAGGGTGAAGTCAGATTCTGAAATTGTCAAGTATTTAATGAGAAATGCAATAATTTATAAGTTTCAACTGGATCTGGTGAGATGACACATAATCTTTTCCCTTGGGGGTTTGGAAATACGAACCTCGGATACCTCTTACTCCAATCTCTTATTGATTTAAGATTTTGAAATTGTTTATTATTGAATTTTTATAAAGAGTGTTGACACGAATCAGAAGCTTCTTATTGTAACAACACTTGATAGAAGAATGGGAAAGTGGCTGCATTAATTCAACATATTGAAAGTGAACAAGGTTCTCATCTCAAGATTTGGAACTCTTCTTCATGAAGAGGAGATTATTGGGTGGTGACTAGAGAGAAACATTTCCTTGTAGCTTTTCTACTAGTAATTAATTGACCAAGATGTTGACCTATAATATGGAAACACAATAAAATTCAATAATACTGATAAATCCAAGTAGTGAATATGAATGGTAATCATAAATCTAAAATCCTTCCAGAAAAAATCATGGTTGGATCCATTTTGAGACTTTTGGAAGTCAACTTGGATGGCAATAGGGGAGCTTTTGATGTGGTTAACACATTTAAAGGGATCTGAATATTTTATTGGATGATATATGTCATCGCTGTACTTTATCACTAAATGTTGAATATCATGATGTTATAATCTATATTTCCAATTTGGAAAATGTTGCAATGTCAATGTTTAATTGAAATATTGCCATCATACCAATAATTGATTTTATAATATAAAAATGGTATTATACACTA